TCTGACCTCAATCTCCCTATTTCTTTGCGGAAAGGTCAACGCAGCTGCACTCTTCACCCCATTTCCAATTATGTTTTTGTATCTCACCTTTCGGCTTCCCATTGCCAATTTGTTTCTATGTTATCTTCCCACCCCCCCGTTTTTGACCTCAATCTCCCTATTTCTTTGCGGAAAGGTCAACGCAGCTGCACTCTTCACCCCATTTCCAATTATGTTTCTGTACCTCACCTTTCGGCTTCCCATTGCCAATTTGTTTCTATGTTATCTTCTGTCTTTGTTCCCAAGGATGTCCAAGAAGCTCTCACTTCTCTAGGGTGGCACCAAGCAATGGAAGAAGAACTCTCGGCCCTGACTCATGCTCATAAGTGGGACCTCACCACTCTTCCGCCTAGTAAGCATGTTGTGGGTTGTAAGTGGGTGTACACTGTTAAATACTTGCCCGATGGGAGTGTTGAATGGTTGAAAGCTCGATTAGTTGACAAAGGTTATTCACAGCTATATGGTATCGGTTACACAGACACCTTCTCTCCAGTTGCCAAAATTGGGTTTGTTCGTGTTCTAATCTCCCTTGTTGCAATGTTTGATTGGTCATTGTTTCAACTTGACATCAAGAATGCCTTTTTACATGGTGATCTCCTTGAGGAAGTGTACATGGAGCAACCACCAGGGTTTGTTGCTCAGGGGGAGGGTGATAAGGTATGTAGACTTAAGAAGGCTATTTATGGACTTAAACAATCTCCTCGTGCATGGTTTGGGAGATTCAGTGAAGTGGTAAAGAAGTTTTGAATGAAACAGTGTCAAGTTGACCATTCCGTATTTAGCTATGAATCCAATGCTGGGAAGATCCTATTGGTGGTATATGTAGATGATATTGTTATCACAGGCAGTGACAGACTAGGGAATGATAGGTTGAAGACTTACTTGCATGATCACTTCCAGACAAAGGATCTTGGCAAATTAAGATACTTCCTAGGGATAGAGGTAGCGAGGTCCAAGAATGGTATTAATCTATGCCAGAGGAAATATGTCCTTGATCTGCTAGAAGAAACAGGGTTGTTAGGTGCTAGACCAGCTGAAACACCCGTGAAACCAAATGTTAAGTTGAGTAATGGTGCAAGTGAGGAGTTTGAGGATCCAGGAAGGTACAGAAGGTTGGTAGGTAAGCTAAATTACCAAACCACCAACTCGACCTAATATCTCACTTGCAATCAGTGTAGTGAGTCAGTTTATGCAAAATCCTCGAATTCCACATTGGGAGGCAGTTCTAAGGATTGTGCGGTATTTGAAGGGAGCTCCAGGTCGTGGTTTGTTATATAAGAGTAGAGGAAGTCTTGAGATAGAGGGATACATGGATGCTGATTGGGCCGATTCCATATCTGACAGAAGGTCTACTACAGGGTATTGCACTTTTCTTGGTGGGAACTTAGTGACATGGAAAAGTAAGAAGTAGACAGTGATAGCAAGAAGCAGTGCAAAGGGTGAATATAGAGCCATGGCACACACAACATGTGAACTAGTGTGGTTGAAGCACCTCCTAGAGGAAATGGGGTACTCGATTGACACTCCTATAAAGCTATATTGTGATAATCAAGTTGCAGTTCACATCTCTAATCTAGTATTTCATGAAAGGACGAAGCATATAGAAGTTGATTGCCACTTTGTATGTGAGAAGGTGCTTAATGGAGTGATAAGTACAACATATGTGAACACAGGAAATCAATGGGCAAATCTGTTTACCAAAGGGTTGAATTGGGGAAGAGTGGACTACATGTGTAATAAGCTGGGACAATATGGCATATACTTACCAGCTTGAGGGGGAGTGTTAAGTCGGCTATAGAAGGGTTGTATAGGTTTTTTATATTAAGTTATATGTTAATTGTACTGATGAGTAGATATTAAGTTAGTTGGTGTGGCTCTCACTTAAGTGTGGGTATAAGAGTAATTCTGGTTTATTTAGAAAAGTATAAATAAAGGTTGGTCGACCAGAGAAAATGATTTTTCCCTCTAGTTCGACAGGAACAGTTCTTCTTCTCATTCTTCTTCTTCTCCTTCTCCTTCTTCTCCTTCTTCTTATCTGAGATCATACGGACACTATATCTGAATTTTATCAGCTTAGTTGTTCAATCCCATATTTTGTCTCCTTCAAGTTTTTTTTTTTTTTTGATCAATTCTCCTTCAAGTTTTTTTATTGGTAAAAGATCTCATTTTATTGATTAAATCATAAAGAATGAAGAATATACATAACTGCAAGCACCTCTTCATGGACTAGCCTTTGCTACCCATCCTTAACATCATTATTTTTAGTTTTCGAAGTTTCCCTCTTGCGAAGTTACACCTAAAATAGTTGACTCCTTATTGCCGCTTCTCTTGCTTCTCAAGTTTAAGAATATTCCTTTTTTACATAAGGTTTAGGATATGAATATTGAACACTTTCAATTATGATTTTAGTACCATTTTGTCCTTACTTAAGACTATAATAGGATAAGAATCAGGAAGATTTCTCTTCCTCTTCCTTTATTATTGATATAAATCAGAAGTTCTGGAATGTATTCTTTTTTTAGTCACAGTGAATCTTCCATTAATGCAACCAATATACAGCCCACAGAAGTAGATAGCAAGCCAAAAAGTATAAACCTGATCTCCCAATAAGGAAATTCACATCATGTATTCATTTTAAGTAAATTTAGGAGTAATACTGACTAGAGTTCAATAAGAATAATAATGGACATGAACCACAATTTAACAATGAACATGGCACTGAAATTGAATGGAAAGGTGGAATAGAAATCGTATAGCCACAATATGTGTGTGTGCACTTTTCAGCTATTGTTGAAGTACTCTTCTGGTTTATTGGAATATCCAAGACACGGGAAAAACAACATATGACCAGGTTGCTTGAGCATGAAGGCAATACCGTAACAAAGGAGTATTGAACAGTCAGAAATTATTTTATAAAAGATGCAGCTACACATGAAAGAAGATATACTGTATTCCAGGTAAATACATTCTGATTCCACAAGTTATTCAATAACTCAAACAGAAATATGACTAAGTTTAAAATTAACATAATAAATTAGATCTTAAGATTGAAAATAGATATCCTGATGTCATACCATGGTCAAGGCCAAGCACTGGAAAGTCTCATTACGCCCAATGATGTCATTGCGTACGCAATTTATGATCAATCTTAGAAAGTCATGGTTCTCATTAAGCATGCATGATGTCACTATGTACCCAACCTGCAGCCAGATTTAGCATAAAAAGATAATAAGCTGGTTTAGAAGCCACAAACTATTGTCCACCGGTGTGAAGAACCCCAGGGGAGATGGGTATGAATAAGCATGCAATGAAGCATGTCCCAATACGTACCACATGCACAAACATACCTCTCCACAGAGAAATAATACCATAAGTATACTGCACAATCTAGAGGACAAACCCTAATCTGGTTAAAATACTTCCAAACACAAAACAGAAAAAGAAACAAACAGCAATAATGAAGCACTTGAGCCTTAACACATCAAGGACTTAAATAAAAGATAATGTATTTGAATTTCTATAATTGCTTAGTCAATAAGTTCAAGTACTAAGTTCTTAACATCATAGAGAAAATAGATTTTGTTTACTTTTTTTTTTAGTGAAAGAGGGTCATTTTTTATCAGTAAACAAACCAGAGAAATTAACACAAAAATATTCATATAAAATTAAATTCATCATAAAGAAAATTATGTATATTTTTCACAAGAAATCCCTCACTAATTTTTCTAGTTGTCTTGCTATTCTTACCAGGATTCTAAAGGTAGACAAAAAGTAAGTGGGCAAGTTAGCTAGGGTAGACTTAATCAAAGTAATTCTCCCTCCCATAGAGATGTAGCTCCTTTTCCACATAGTTAACTTCATAGTGAATCTTTCCACTATTGGTTTCTAGAAGCCATCTACTCTCGGATTTTCTCCTATAGGCATACCAAGATACTCTAGGGGCCATTTTTTCTCCTCACATCCCAGTAGTCCTACCAACAGTGGATTTCTTCATCTCTCATGTTAACTCCCACCACACAACTCTTTCCCCAATTGCCTTTTAACTTTGAGATCCTTTGGAAATGATCAACTAAAGCTTTCAAGTTCCACATGTTGACCTCAGTGCATTCATCACAAAGGATGATTATGCCATCTGCAAACTGCAAGTGAGTCACCACCACCTCATTTCTACCAATCCTTCACCCTCTAAAATAGTTTATAGATCGGCTTAAATGATCAATCTACTCAGAAATAATGGTGAACAAAAAGGGGGAGATGGGGTCTCCTTGCCTTAGACCTCTTTTAGCCAGGAAAAATTCCCTAACCACTCCATTAATTAGTACCGACAAATGTGTTGAACTAAAACATCCTTTGATCTATTTCCTCCACTTCTCACCTAGGCCAATTTTTTTCTAGCAAACCCAAAAGGAAGGACCAATCCACCATATCATAGGCTTTTTCCAGATCCAACTTGAAAATTAGTCCTACCCCTCCCTGCTTTTTCTTTTCTTCCACACATTCATTAGCCACAAGTGGTCACTCATTTGTCTCCCTTCCACAAAGGCTCCTTGATTTTGGGAGATTACCAAAGGAAAAATAGTCTTAAACCTCCTTGGCATAACTTTTGTAATGATTTTGTAAAGGCTGTCCACAAGGCTTATTAGCCTAAAGTTCTTTGGAGTCTTGGCTTCTTTCTTCTTAGGCACTAGGGCTAGGAAAGTTGCATTAGCTCCTAGTGAAATTTCCCCTTTCTAATGAAATTTCAAAAACACCTCCATCAAGTCATCTTTTATTATTTCCCAACAATCCTGATAGAAGGCCATTAAGAAACCATTAGGTCCTAGAGCTTTAGAACTTTCCATTGAAAAAAAACGCATCATGAACCTCCTCCTCATTGAAGCTCCTTTCTAAGACAGTTGCTTGGGTTTCCGACACTTTGATGCAATCCAACTCCCCCACTTCCTAATTCCTTTTCCCTAAGGAGGCAAAGATCAAAAAAGGGAGGCAAATATTGATTTAAAGAGATCCACAAAGGTCTTGACAATCTCCTCCTCTAAAGTTACCACCTGACCTTCAACCTCAATGCTAGAGATCAAGTTTTTCCTTCTTCTCCCATTTTCCACTAAATGAAAGACTTTTGTGTTACCATCCCCCTCCAATAACCACTTACATCTTGATTTTTGTCTCCAAGAGATTTCCTCCTTCCTCAAGATTTTCTCTAATTCCACTTTTAGGTTCCATCTTTTTTATCTTTCCTCCACACTACATTCTCTTCGGGCCTCCTTTTGGTCTAACTGCTCAATCCTTTTTGGCATTCTCTCTTTTGTTTCTTAAATTCTCCAAAATTTATCTTTATTCCAATCCTTGATTCTTCCTTTAATCTCTTCAATTTTTTTTGTGAATCTCACCCCTTTATTATCTACATTGATTTCACCATCCACCCACCATTCTCTTATTTTTTTCAATAAACTTTGGAACTTCCAGCCCCATGTTTTTATGTCTAAAAGGTGTGGGGCCCCAAAAAGGTCTTGGCTTAGTCACAGAGAACAATGGCTAGAGGTTACTCTAGAGAGTACTCTCAAGGCTAGGTTTTCCCACAACTCTTCCCAATCAATGGAGAACATGAATCTATCCAGTTTTGAACAGATTTAATTTTCTTAAAAGTTGGCCCATGTAAAGGAAGCTTGCAGTAGGGGGTTCGTTTAGCTATAAGGCATCCACCAAAGAGTTAACTTTCCTCATACTCGTGGTTATAGTCAGGTTCGGTTTATCTATTTCACTAGTGAACATTATGATATTGAAGTATCCACCTACACAAACCCCTAATTGCAATTAGCTCTTCCCAGAGACAGTCCCTTTCTCTATATATGAGTTAAGACCATAAACATTTGTTAAAACCCACTCTCTTCCTCCACTGCCTTTTTTAGCCTTTATTGACACTAAAAAATTCCCAATCACTTCTTCCAGACAATCCTCATCCTCATTTATCTATATTGTAATTTGTACAAATACCTACCACCTGAAGCACCCCAAGAAAGGGAATAGGACCAGCTCAACCCTCTACTGCTCCAAATACTCCTTATCCATCTTCTGTTCAAATCTAAGAGCTTTGTTTCTTGCAACACTACTACATCCAGTTTCTCTTTCTTAACACATTCTTGATAATTCTCCTCTATTCTGCACTCCCTAATCCCCTTACATTCCTACAAATAATCTTCATTACTTGGGATTCAAGACATCCAATTCTTGCCTCCAAAACTACTAATCCCCTCTCTCCTTCTCCCTTTTACGGTTTTCAACCTTGTCATAGATTACTCCACACACTAATTTCTCCCCTTCGCTTATTTTCCTGCTGTTCTTGTCTTCATCCACATCCTTCCTTTGATACACTTTCATCTTAGCACACACGTTTCCCAAGTCCTCTGGTTCCTGCCCCTCCTTGTTTGGTGAATCACTGGTTTTTCCTTCTCCTTCAAAAGTCATAACAATTTTTCCTCCATTCTCTACTGGATCTATAGTGGTATCCTACCCCTCCGATCTCTTCTCAAAAATCTCCTCCATTTCAAATAGAGTGGCTAAGTTTCCTAGGATTAGATCCATTATCTCCTCCAAAACAACTTCCCCTGCTCCTTTCCTTTCTCAGTCACACCCAGGTCATTGTCCACATCATGCGTAGCTTCCAGGATTGGATCTACCAAGCCACGAGAGGAAGTTTTAGCACAAAGAGCAGGGGTAAGGGTAATCAAAGCAAGAGAAGACAAAGTGGGGGAAGGAGGAAAAAAGGGTGGAAGAGAATCCCTAAAGGTGAGGATCAACCCAAAGACAGACAATGAAGGGGAGAGCTCCTTTTCAACATCCTATACAAATAAAGTGTTTTGTTCCTAGGTGAATCTAAGTTTGGCTCGTTGTGAGAGTCCAAATCCCCATCACGAACACCCTACGATTGTGTTTGAAATGTTCCTTCATCCTCTACTCTCTAAGGTTCTTCTGTAGATCCCCCACCATCCACAGTAGAATCTTCCACCCCTACTTCCTTTAGTTCCAGAGCTTTAGTACTGGAGTTTTCTTCAAATAGGAGTTCAGTTCCAAGAAAATCAAAGTCTGCCAGATTGAAACCCTTCATTGAGTTAAGACTTCCAACACTTGAGGGTTGATCAACTTCCTCCTCGATATCTCTTAGGTCTTCCCAATCAGTTTCATCTTCTGAAACATCACATGCTTCTCTGTTGTAACAAGGATTTGGTTTCCCTGGAGTTGTTGAGTTCTCCGCCCCCCAAGTCTTCCAAAACAGATTTGATGGAGCTTTTTGGTCATTTGTCGTGTCAGAGGATGAATGGAGAAGAACCCTGGAAGTAGAAGCTGCCACGAGAGGCTGAGAACAGATGGGCTGGTTTGAATGAGATGATGATAGACCCAGAGAATTGTCCCCAGTCGACTGTTGCTGTTCTTCCAACATATACTACAGTCTTGGATTCCCCTTCTATCTCAATCTTCTTGAAGTTGAGTTGCTTGGCTACCCTCAGACTTTGTAATACTGCTGATATCTCTAATCGTAATGAATCATTAATATCCAATTGGGCCTGAGTACGGTTCCAACATGACACCATTTGTGTCTCTCAACACTCCCCCATTCCAGATGGTCCTAGGTTACTAAATAGATCTCTCATCAAAGCTCAGTTTAATCTTGTTGCTGTTCTGGTTGAATCTATCTTGGATTGTAGATCTGATTGTCAATGAAGCTGCTGCCACTCTCCAACCTCATATGATGTCATCAACTGAGAATGCCTCAAGTCATCCATTGTCTTGCTCCAATTAGCTACCTTCACAGCTCTGCATTCAATTATTGCCTCCTTGGTCCTGGCATCCTGACATGCTCCATAAATAGTTTAGCATTTCTGTCTTCCCAAATGGTACATTGGATTCCTGCTCTTGTAGATCTCAACATAATTCTCCACCTTGGAAGCACAAGAAATCTGAGTTGAAGAGGCCACCATCTTAAGAGAGTGTCTACCTGCATCAAAAGAGAGAAAAGAACCACTCCGAAACAATAAACACAAATGAATAGGAGATTAGTAAATGAAAAGTCGGACTCTTCACTTGCATGACACCAGTTCAGCATTCTTCTTTGAATCGTGTCACAAGTATTGATCCTCTTAAAATAACATTTCCCAACAGAATACCCTAACGTTAGGAGGCACTTGTACTAGACCTTTATGTTATCCTTTTGATGTTCTTGTCTCCGGGTCTTATGGTGAAGTCATTTTTTATCTTATTATAATAATAAGGAAAATTTCCATTTAAAGAAAAGGAATGAACAAGTAAAGAAGGTGAAGGGAAAACCACAGAAACCAGATTGAAACTTAAACAACATCAATATCAATTTTTGGATCTAATCCTAAGTCCTTGGGCATTTTAGTCTAGTTTCCTGGTCATAATTTTCAACCTACTATATTGTATCACTCACGTTTATAGAAAGAAATATTTATTAGCTCAAGGCATGACATATTCTGGCTGATGTTGTTATCCATGAATATCAATCATGTTAAGCAGCAAGATAAACATGTAAACAATTTAAAACAAAAACTATTAGCATGGCTAAGACTAATGCAAGAGTAATCATATTTCCACCTGCTTATCAAAAAAAATAAATCTACCTGCTTTTCTGCATACTTAGGTGCAGATATTAAAGAAACAACCTCCATATGACCAAAGTCTACATCATATCCCAGCATATATATGTAGAGCATCTTCCAAACATATTTCTTCTTCTCATAGGGGGTCAAACCCTGTCAAAAGAACACAAAAACCCAAATCACAACAAATTTGTTCAGGACACCCAGAGGTAGTGTAGAGGATTGTACCATGAAGAATATAGCCTCTAGAAGCTAGCTAGTAACACAAGGGAAGTAGTAAGAGTATAAGGAACTTTTATGTTACACGTCCATTAAAAGTAAGGTTTTGCCTTCCTTTTTTTCTCTTGTCTCCCAGGGGTTGGGATTTAACATTATATTTGAGTGGAAAGCCAAAAAAAAAAAACAATAATGTAACCTAGCTTCTAAAACTACCCTTTCGGTTCATTTATTTGGACTCATTTTTGCAATTTGATCCATATCGGTTGGTGTTTTAAATATAGTACTGTTAGGGAGGCCTTATCAGAGTGGAATATAAAGGGTCAAAGCAAGAAAAGTAAGTATACAAACCCACAAAATGAATATTTTAGTGTAATAGTGTCTTTTTAATTATTATAATATACAAAAATAAAGAATATAAAAAAAATTATAAAGCCATGTGCAAAATAGCAAGGCATATGAGTAAGGTGACCCTCCATAAGCTTATCATGCTTTTAACATTATTTGGATTTTACAGGCTGAAAGGAATGCGAGGATTTTTTTAGAAGAAAATATCTCCAAAGGAGACAGAGCCGAGGAAGACATTTTTTTTATCAATAACAGATTCATTCAAATCTTTGAAATATCAAAATATTTACAGCAAGACAAGAACTCTTATCTTCCGAATACAACTTAAATCCTCCAAAAGAGAGAAAAAGAGAACAAGAAACAAAAGGAAACAATTAAGTTACAACTTAGCCCAAAACATTGCTTCCCTTTCTATCCCTTGTTTATCTAATCCATCAGCTAAAGAGTTAGCTGATCTCTTAACCCAACTCATCCTGATTTCCATCTCCCACACCAGCCACCTGAATTTCCTCTTCTCAGTTCTGTAGTTCCATAAACCGCAGTCATCTTTAATCAGCCACCCTATCACCACCTCCGAGTCCCCTTCAATTATGAGTTTCCTGACATTCATCTCCTTGGCTTTCTAAACTCCTTCCATAACTGCCAAGATCTCAGCTCTAAGGGAATCCCCCACACCAATTGGGCCTGAGAACAGGGCATAAATGACCCCACTCTCATCCCTAAAAACACTCCAATCCCTGATTATCCCGGATTCCCCCTACAACTCCCATCGAAATTTAACTTTAAGAAGCCAGCAGGTGGGGGAGTCCAGGACACCCTTATTATTGGTTTGACCTGAGTGCAGTTTGCAATCTCGCCCCACTTTCTCAACATGTCTTCCACTGTGTAATCTGTAAATAGTTCTAGTGATTTCAGCCACTGTACTGCCCTTATGTGGATCACAGCCCTCAATTCTTCACCCCCTCTCTCATTTTCTAAGAAGATCCTAGTATTTCTTTCTTCCCATAATGTCCAGCATACTGCAGCCCACAAACCTCTCCACATAGTCCTCCCCCTTTTCATGTGCCACCTGAAAAAGGAAGGGGAAAATAGGCTCTGCAAGTTTGATGGAGGATTCCACCTACACCCAAAGAGAGAAAAAACAAAGAGAGAACAAACAACATTCCAAATACCAGAAGCAAAAGAGCAGGATAATAGTAAGTGGGTTAGAGTTTCACCACATCCCAAACAAAGAACACACACATGAGGAGAGAGGCAATTGTTTGGCCTCCTTTTCTTAGCACATCACAAGTGTTTACCTTCCCTAGGAACACTTCCCAACAGAAAGCTTGTACTTTTGGAGGGATCGGTTTAGTCCAAATTTCTCTCACTGGGAAGTTCACCCCCATAGGGTTAATATGAATGAGCAAACCAAAGAAAGATGCACAGGAAAATAAACCATCAGAAGTTGGGGACCACACTCTACAATCAGCTATAGATTGGTCCAAGTAGACCGTCTCAAGTGTTGAAATCAACAGCACTAGAGACTCACTCATTTTCCCTCAATCCTCTTCTAAAGCCAAAACCCCAAGAGATCCCTGATTTTGAAAGCACACCAAACCTAGCAACAGGTTTGTTTTTATAGTTTGATAAAGAGTAGAGGTCTGGGAAATTGAACATAAGAGGCACATCCCCAACCCAAAGGTCTTCCTAGAATAAAACTTTGTTGCCACAACCAACATCAAACCTGATAAATTGAAGAAAAGTTGGATATACCTCAAAGATTGCCTTCCAAGGAGAGGATGGAGCTGCATTGGGGGCTAATTTTGCATCCCAGCCGTTACCTGCATCACCATGTAAGCTTTTAATAACCTTGTGCCACAACCTTTCTTCCTCACAAAGGAATCTCCATAGCTATTTACCTAGGAGGGCCTTGTTTCTCTTTATTAGGTTCCCTATACCTAATCCACCCTGGTCCTTAGGGTAACAAACTTGCTCCCATTTCACTAAATTATCTTCCTTTTCTTCAAGGTGATTCTTCCCCCCAAGGAAATATAATTTATCTTCCACATTGCCAACTTCTTCATGAACCTCTCTACCACCGGTTTCCAGAAGTTTTCAGCATTCAGATTCCCACCCAAGGGCATTCCTAAGTATTCCAGGGGCCAATTTTTCACTTCACAACCTAACAGATTTGCCATGGCTTGGATATCCCCCCCTTCAATGTTGATTCCGGCTACACAGCTTTTTCCCCAATTGACTTCCAATTTGGAGGGCATATTGTGTTTTTAGATGCTTGCCACCCTATAAGGGCATATTAGTCATTGTACTCCACTTTATATTTTTACTATAAATACTAGTGAAGGGGGCGGCTAGAATTAAGCTCTCTTTTTCTTTCTCAAATCTCTTCCTCTTCTTCTCTCTCTTCTCTTCTTCAAGAAAATATCTTTTCTTTTACAGATTTTTTTAATTCAGCAGATTTCTACTTGGTATTAGAGTAAGGCTAGGGTTTCTTGGAATTCTCCCATGCAACCCTAGATCAGCCGATTGCATGAAGAGATAAAAGGGCTGATCAATCTACTTCAGACCGCCCAGTTCTTGGACTTTTTGGTGGATTTCAGTCATCAAGAAGGTGATCTAGGTTTTGGCATCAAAATCAGGAAGAACTAGAGTGCAGGGAAGAATCCTAGGTAAGTTGGATTCTTCATTCTTGGTCTGATCTTGGGCGCTTGGACCTTGTTGGACTTCTCTAAGTTTTTAGAGTGGGCAATTAGGTTTCTGGACAGTTTTAAGCCTTCTACAGTGATTGATTCACTCTTCTCTCCAGTAGGAGACAGTGGGAGAAAGGGTTTTTTTTCTCCGAATAGGGTTTTCTCCTTCCGGAAAGGTCAGTCGCCCTTGAGTGAGATCAATATGATCTCAGAAGTTTTCTACCTAGTGTTATGCTGGTTTTGAACCATTTGAAGCCGAGATGGAGGGTTGGAGTGTTGAACAAAAGTCCACTGGTAACATGGGTCTAGGTGTTGGAGGTATGAGTGATATGTTTGGGTTCGGAATTATTTCCACGGTTAAATTAGATGGAACAAATTATTTAGAATGGGCATAATTAGCGAAGATGGCCATTGGTGCTCATGGAAAACTAGGGTACAACACTGGGGAGGAAAAGAAACCTACTACAGATTCTTCCCAATGGGTATAGGAGAATTACATGGTGATGACCTGGCTATGTAATTCTATGTTACCCATATTGGCAAAAAATTTCTATGGGCTAATACTAAAAAGGGAGATTTGGGATGGAGTAATTGAAACCTATTCTCAGAAGCAGAATGTAGCCAAAGCCTATTAGTGAAGGAATCAAGTGATTAATATAAAATAGGGAGATAAACCTCTTGCCATGTATTTCTCCATGCTGAAAACCCTTTGGCCGAAGATAGATCACTTAAAAATTGTGGTTTGGGAAAGTGTAAATGATGCAGCAACCTATCAGAAGTTGGTAGAGAAGAATAGGATTTTTGAGTTCTTGACTGGGCTAAACCCTAAATTCGACATTGCTAGGCAACATATCCTTTCTAGAGAGAGTGTGACTCTTTCTCAAACCTATGCCTTTGTTTCTAGAGAGGAGAGTATGAGGAATGTCATGTTGAGACAGCTTGGCATTGATCAATCTGCTATGGTTAGTACAACCAGACCTAAGCCAAATGGAGACAGGAGAAGCAATGAGACTAGGAGGGAGGACAAGAAGGACTTGGTGTGTGATTATTGTAAGAAGACTAAGCATACCAAATACACTTATTGTAAGAAGACTTGGTGTGTGATTATCCACACCTAACACCAGCTCAGGTCAAGAACAAGAAGGGAAATGTAAATGTGGCAATTATAGGAGACTCTTCAGGACCCCTTACCCAAGCTGATTGGGAGACCATTACAGTAGCAGTAGTCAGAACCGAATTGGAGAAATTTGGACGACTGATGAGTAAGAAGGATACAGCCAGTTCTAGATCTTCAGGTGGACAGTAGAGTGTAGGAGCCAACCACACCACCTCTTTTGCTCATACAGGTAGTTCATATGCAACTACAAATTATGCATCCACTTCAGGTAAGGACGAACCTCCCTGGATTATAAACTCAAGAGCATCTGAGCACATGACTAATATACCTACCCTTTTCAATTCTTACTAGTTGTGCTCTAGTAGAGACAGAGTCTCTACAGCAGATGGTTCACATATTCCCATTGCTAGTAAAGGGACAGTTAGAGTGACCAATGATATTACTTTATCTTCTGTCTTACATGTCCCAAGACTTAATACTAGCATTCTTTCTGTTAGTTCTTTGACAAAAATTTTGAATTGTTCAGTGACCTTCCTTCTTGGTAATTGTGTTTTGCAGGATCTGGAATCAAAGAAGACAATTGGGAGTGGTTATGAGGTGAATGGAGTCTACTTTTTGGACAAGATACCGAGACATCAGAGCCATCATGTTAGTAGCAGCAGTAGTAGTGGATCAGAGTCAGTGAGTCAAATTATGCTTTGGAATAATCGGTTGGGTCATCTTTCTTTCAGTTTATTAAAGTTTTTGTTTCCAAAGTTGTTTGAGTTTGTCCAATTATCTAC